AGTATGGGTCAGGACTACGACGACCCCATCGATGATGACGACAATATGGAGGCAATGGATCAGATGGACGACGAGAACGTGGATGTGTTGGCCGCCACTCAACACACACCGCAAGTGAACGCCAAACGCATTACCACTCCTTATATGACTAAATACGAGAGGGCGAGGGTTTTGGGCACAAGAGCTCTGCAGATAGCGATGTGCGCACCCGTTATGGTCGAACTCGAGGGCGAAACGGATCCGCTCCAGATCGCCATGAAAGAGCTCAAGTATGGCCACAACACACACACCACTCATACCATATCATTGTCTCTCAATGTCTTGTATTGTCCCGTTTTAGAGCCCGAAAGATACCGATTATTATCCGCCGATACTTACCGGACGGCAGTTACGAAGACTGGGGTATCGATGAACTCATTATCACTGATTAACTGATTCCTTACCACACAATCGTGTCATTTATCTTCAAAATAAAATCTTTATTTCATTAATTATTTTAGTATTAAAAGTGATGTTAAAATAATGTAAATTTTTTGGTTAATTTTCACAAACATTTAAAAGTGAACTTTGATTTGAGTCTAAAATATAATTTATAAATAAAAACATTTGTTTGGAAGACATTTGTGTTATCTTTTGAAGAATTACTTTTAAAAACAAACATTATTTACAAAATGTCACAAAAAATAGTTTAGTTTATAGTTTCGCATCAAATTTGATTCAATTGTTTTGTTTCATTGTTTGCATTATTTGTGTTCTTTTCGGCCGACTGTCTTCGGAGGTCAGCTTTGATGAGAACCGTGAGTACGGATCCCAAGACTAAAGCGCCCACAAAACCTAAGTTTGCGGATAAACTGTTGTACGAGTCTATGATCGCTGAACCACCAAATGTGAAGATCACTCCAAATATCTAATCAAATTCACATCATTTTATTAAACAAAATTGATCTAACATTTAATTAAGTGACCAGTAATGCCATACCTGTGCGGATGCGTTCAATAGTCCAGCGGACGTGCCTTCGGGCTGAGGGTAACTGATTTCTGCGGCCAATTCAAAGCCGAGCGGTAGATATCCGGTCATAAAGAAGCCGAGAATTGCCGAAACCAAAAACATACACCAAACAGATTTGAAGTGTAGAGTGACTGTAAATGCAATCATTCCCACCAATGATAGCAGATATACGCCAAGTGTTATCTGTTTGAATAGTTTAGTCCAGTCTAAG